TTTTGCATGTGAATAATTCATAGCAGCCAGGTCAGTTTGGATTTTTATCCGGGATTTTCACCGATGATCATGGCTGCAGAGGGAAATAGAAGAGCTGTTGTTAAATGAACTGAAGAAGGGATTAGCTCTTTTCCATAGCGCAAAAGATTTCAGATATATGTAATGGCAGCTTATGTAATATCGCATTCCGAGATAAAGATAACCATGATCCGGAAATGTAAGATTTCTGTGCCTCTTCAATTGCGCTTACAAACAAATACAGGCAGTTTTCTGACTGTGCAGCTACAGCAAAGTCCAATAATTGAATGTCCATGGTTACTAGCAGCAAAGTAAGTTTTTGCTTGTCATTCTGCTCTTTCATCTGAGTGGCAAGATTTTTTACCATACGTAATGGTATATGCACAGGAATAAAATCCGATATGCAAGAGATATTGCTTCTTTTTCGACTTATAATGCACGTTGTTCGTCAGTGCCACACGCTGAGAAAAACTTCTGAAGGCGGTGGTGTGTGAGTGTGTACATGTGTGTATGTGTGTGAGTGTGTATGTCTGCGTGTGTGTGTACAGCAGGTGCAGCACTGAGGCAGAAAAGTTTGGACTCAGTGACTAAGTGCACTGTAGTTTCATACCGACAATTTAGTGACGACTCTATATGCAGTTTTTTAAATTTTACGAATTTCCTTTGATATAAATGCACCAAATAACGTTCTTGTTACACTTGGGGTATGACTGCATTTCAGAGAAAAGAGGTTCTAATTTGATGGTTATTTTATATTTGTCTTTTCAAAATTTGACAATTTTACTTTGAAAAGAGACAAATCTATGGATGCGTACCAAGTATCACTCCTGCATAAAAGTTACCATTTTGCAGCTGCGATTTTGTTGGTTTCTTTGCACTGACTGTAAAAAGTGATGCAATGGAAAAGCTGCTGTCACAGAATTACAGTACAATGCCTCAAGCGTTTTTGTCGCGGACGGATCGCACGTGGTTGCAGATACCAGTGATTCTTCAGGATTCACGTGTATTATCGCATGAACCAAAAAAGCATAAACTTGCCATATGCTTACAACCAATCTATCTTCTAGCCGACTGGACTCTGCTGGTGCAGTTCTTTGAAGTAAGTTCATTGTGAATATGTGCTAGAAGTAGCTTTTCTACCATGCTTCTGCCAGAAATATCATCTGTCATCAGGAACATCGGCGAGTCCCGGCTGATGGCTGCTACTAGTATATCAAAGCCATGCAAAATTAGTAAAGCTTAATGCTAAAAAGCACAGGAAAAGCAAATTGAGTATAAACTGATTTTCAGTCCATGCTCCAAAATTTGCTAATTTACAACTGTTAATGGTAACGGAAAAGAAAAAAGTAAGGTCTGAGTGAAACTGAATTAGCTTATTGTTTGTAATGGAATGTTTCAGTCCAATAAGTTGAATACATTCCTTTGTAGCACCACAGTTAGACTTTATTAGTATGATGGTTTTGGTATGAGTTTGCACTGTATTAATTTTTGTACAAATTTCTTAAATTAACTACGTGAAAAATTATTGGGTGCGCAATTAAGAAGAAGTTGAAGAGTAGATTATAAAATGGAGAGGATGGAAAAAGATATAGGAATGAACGAAAAAAATTGGAAAAGTAACAGAAAAACAATAAAATTTGTGGAAAATGATAAAAAATAAAAAAAAAATAAGTAAAAAGAGACAGATAAAGAAGTAATAAAAAATAACAAGAAGGTTATAAAGTTTCGCATACTCACAGGTTATTTATCTATGTTTTCCTCCATTGCATGCCGAAATTCCATCCTCATTGAACTTATAACTCTTGTCAAAAAATGTAAGTTAGTGTAATATAAATTATTCCCCCTATATCTGCCACTTCCTCGTTTTTCCTTATCCTTTGCCTCCCTCATTATTTTCATAAATCCCTTCATTGCCGGAGCATCAAATATCCAAGTTCTTAGATTTTGGGATTCACTGCAGGGTGATGGCAAAACATTACATTATTAGCTCCTGTACGTGTCGCACATCTCTAACAAGTGTTAAAAATATTAAAAAAGTTATTGGCTGATCTGTATTCATTTAGTATGATTTCGCTACAGCGTTGTTTTCTAGAAACTAGAATTCAGGTATGGATAGCTCAAGGTGCAACG